CTGTGTACAGTGACTAAAAACAAATTGACCTGTGTACTTCGACTAAAACCAAATTGACCTGTGTACAGTGACTAAAAACAAATTGACCTGTGTACTTCGACTAAAAACAAACTGACCTGTGTACAGTGACTAAAATCAAATTGACCTAAGTATAGCGACTAAAAACAAATTGGCCTGTGTAGTGATTAAAAACAAATTGACTTGTGTACAGTGATTAAAAACAAATTGGCCTATGTACAGAGACTAAAAACAAATTTACCTGTGTACAGCGACTAAAAACAAACTGACCTGTGTACAGCGACTAAAAACAAACTGACCTGTGTGCGGCGACTAAAATCAAATTTATATGTGTAAAGAGACTAAAAACAAATTGACGTATGTAAAGAAACTAAAAATAAATTGACTTGTCTACAGTGACTAAAACAAATTGACCTAAGTACAGCGACTAAAAATAAATTGTCCTGTGTAGTGATTAAAAACAAATTGACTTGTGTACAGTGATTAAAATCAAATTGGCCTATGTACAGAGACTAAAAACAAATTTACCTGTGTACAGTGACTAAAAACAAATTGACCTACGTACAGTGACTAAAAACATATTGTCCTATGTACAGTGATGAAAAAGAAATTGACCTTTTTACAGTGACTAAAACAAATTGACCTGTGAACAGTGACTAAAAACAAATTGACCTGTGTAGTGATTAAAAACAAATTTACTTGTGTGCAGCGACTAAAAACAAATTGATCTGTGTACAGTAATGAAAAACAAATTGACCTATGTACAGCGAATTAAAACAAATTGACCTGTGTACATCCACTAAAAACAAATTGACCTGTGTACAAGGACTAAAAACAAATTTGCCTGTGTGCAGCGACTAAGAACAAACTGACCTGTGTACGGTGACTAAAAACAAATTGACCTATGAACAGTGACTTAAAACAAATTGACCTGTGTAGTGACTAAAAACCAATTGACCTATGTAAAGTGACGTCGAAACATGTAGAGTCGTCAATTTTTGAAGGCCATAGATTGGCCTAAATAAAATGTTTTTAATTGTGTACCAGTTTAACGTTGAATATTATTTATGATTTTATACTATATATATCTCGTTGAACAAAATAAATCAACAAAAAAAAAAATATTGTACGTTATACACAGTTAAGCTTAACGTCAATCATTATTGTACCATTTCTACTGATTTATGACACATAGTATAACTTGTACCAGTGGCTTAGGCTTAGATAGAGAAGATTACTCACAATAAAAGTTTATTTGTTTGTTTTGTTTTGAATTTCGCGCAAATCTACTCAAGGGCCATCTGCATTAGCCGTCCCTAAATTAGCCTAGAGGGAGTGCAGCTAGTCAACAAAACCCACAGCCAACTCTTGAACTATTCTTTTACCAACGAATAGTGGGATTGACCGTCAACATTATAACGCCTCCCCAGATGAAAGGGTGAGCATGTTCGGTGAGAGGGATTCGAACCCGCGATTCGTATATTAGGAGTCGAGTGCTTTTTGTTTTTGCAAGCTAACTATTTCCATACAACATATTTTACAAACGTGTCTGTTGAACGATAATGGTTATAAAAAATATAAGTCTTTTTAAAACTATTATTAAAATACTGAATAGTAAATATTATTAATCATGCTACTCCCATGAACACTCATCTACTGCCGATCGTTATTTTAATGCTGTATCAGAAGTTATTAAAATAGAATTAAATAACTTGATCTATAGAATTACCTGTCTTTCTTTTCATAAACTGGCCTGAGAGTGAAAATATTTAGTTGCTAGATGTCATAGTTTTTTACTAAGGGAAACAGGTGTCCAACTTTGTACAACCCTATTAATCACGCCGCAACAGTTTTTGCTATATATTGTAGTTATTGGTAATAAAGTTATTTAAAATGTTTGTTAAGAAATGGTGTCAGCCTGTACCACATTCTTTACGGAGTAAAAGTGCTAGGAAAAAGATTGAAGACTTATCACAACAACTTACTTTTATGGTTGTGGATTTTAATATAGCGTTGTCATACATATTTCTTAGCGATTAAGAAAATCTCTGGTAGAAGAGGGTTAATATAAGGTCAGTATAAATAAGCAGCAAACTATATGAAAAACATCAATTATATCGATGTATATAACCTGAATGTAATAAGGTAATACACTTCAGAATGTCCATTTGATTATTTGATGCCTTTCTAGGTTCCAAGAATCTCGAGTGGTCCAGACGTCCATCACTTCATTCTAGGGTCTGAAGGTAAGACGTCCATCAGTTCATTCTCGGGTCTGAAGGTACTTGTAATCTGTTTTATTGGAGTGGATCGTGCATAACAAAGGGTCTGAAGGTACTCGTAATCTGTTTTATTGGAGTGGATCGTGTATAACAAAGGGTCTGAAGGTATTCGTAATCTGTTTTATTGGAGTGGATCGTGTATAACAAAGGGTCTGAAGGTACTTGTAATCTGTTTTATTGGAGTGGATTGTGTATAACAAAGGATCTGAAAGTACTTGTAATCTGTTTCATTGGAGTGGATCATGTCTAATTTGTTAAAAAATCTAATTTCGAACAAACTATTTTCAACTTCTTCAAGCCAAGCCCTACATGAATTTAGTTTGAAAAGAAAGGATAATTGCAAGTAAAATAATTTTAACTACTTTCATACCAAAGACCCAATAAGTTTAAAGATTAACTTTGTGTCGAAGTAAAGCAGTTCTCTTCCACAATACCCCCAGTGGTACAGCGGTATGTCTGCAGACTTATACCGCTAGAAACCGGGTTTAGATACCCGTGGTGGGCAGAGCACAGATAGCCCATCGTGTAGCTTTGTGCTTAATAACAAACAATGACTCTTCCATAATGATATACTTTTTAATATTCTAAGCATGTATTCAATTAAACATATCTGAAACTTCTGAAAATCGTACAGAGGGTACCTTATTATTTCTAATCCTTTTATAGGCTTGATATACTTATTTCTTTGGTATAATGACTTTTTAAATTAGTAACTGTAGGAATATACGTTTTTCACTATTATTTTCCACTGAAGTGGCTTCTTATACAAATGAGCTCTATTTTTTCATCGTTTTATGTTATACGAATTTCAGTCTGTGGACAACGCTCTAAGCAGGTTTATGTTTAGAAAATAATTAAGGTTAAATTTAAAAGTAACCAAAAAAGTTGTATAAACACACATTATAGTGGCATTAGTTGTAACAAAAATAACAAATCTGATTTGTAAAGTCCCAAATCAATGGGTACTCTCTACTATCATATACATTTTAAAATGTTTTTGTTATTTTATCATTGTTATTATTCGGAATCTCTGACAATGTTCCTATTCACTAATGCCTTTTTTTACCTCCACAGGTACGCTTGGAGTGATTACAGAAGTAACACTTAGGATATGTCCTCTACCTGAATGCAAAAGATACGGCTCGTTTGTATTCTCAGATTTTGAAACCGGAGTGGCGTTTATGAGAGAAGTTACTAAACAAGTATGTAATGGTAACTTTTATAAAAAAACATTTCAGTAAATTTGCTTAATATAAATTCATACATTATAGCATAATAAATTTATGTTCATTGTTGTTTCGAAATAATCTTTATAATTAAACTTTGTTTATTCATTGTATAACCATTACTTCGATAAATTATTTTTTGAGGTTCGATAAAATTACACAATCAGTCTAATGATGTATACTGTTTAAGTCATCAAACCTTATGAGATAATGGGCATAATAAAACACCACAGCAAGATTTATAATACTGTTTGTTACCAAGCCACTCTTTTTGTGATCTAATTTCATATCTAATATAGATAAAATTATGAGGGTGCACCCACCTTTATCTGTAGGTCTTTATATAATTAATGATGAAATATTCATTTCAACTAAACTAATTCTACAATTCTAAAGAATATAGTTTTGTAAGAAAAAAACACCATTCGAAATATAAAATATATGAAACTAGAGACAAAATTTGGTTGAAGACCGAGAACTAGTAAAGGAATTATAAATAACTGAAAACTAAAGAACCAAAAAATGAATATATTAATCACAGGAAACCATAAAAATTCAAGGTATGTATAAGTGATTAACTATTCAATGCTGATATTGTGAATTTTTCTCTCTCTAGTTTTCTGTTTTAATGTCTGTAATCTGTTGTTCACTCTGAGTTCTGGTCCCCAGGCGATTCAAAAGTAAGCTTGAAGGTTTATAACACTATAACTCTGGGTTTGATCCCCTCGACGAACACAGCTCGGATGGTCAATTGTGTAGCTCTGTGCTAAAATAAACAAACAAAAAATAAGTTTCCTGTCTCTAATTCTCTCTATATTTAGCCCTATCTTTAATTTTCTGGATCTCGTTCTTTGTATTATTGTCTTAAATTTGTCTATTATTTTCTATTTGCTGTTCTCAGTATATATTTATATGTATATCATAAAATGTGTTTTCTCAGTATTTTGTTCGATACATTCACTATAAAGCATCATTTTCAGGGACTTAAACCAGCTTCTATTCGTTTAATGGATAACGAACAACTGATGTTTGGTAAGTCTTTTTTGTTTGTTTGTTTTTCGTTAAGGAAAGTAATGAAAAAAAATACGACAACTGTATTCAAATGCAGTTAGCTATAAAAATAAGAGTAGCAGTTGATAAGTTCATGTTTTCTTGTGAATAAATCCTCCACACTGTGTATATCTTGTTAAAAAGTGGACTGTCTCTTAAAAGACTAATTATAGAGTATTGACTAGCTTTTGACAAACTCCAAACTTTCAATGTCAACTTAGTAGTATAGTCTTAGATTGAAAGTTTCGTAGTTCTTCATTTCCTTGATGGTCCTATTTACGTTCGTCAGGATCTTTATAGCTTTAATCCTCTTAGTATAATTTCAAAAGTGTTGGGATTTACACTAGTTTCGTTATTTCTGAGATTTATGATGTATCTTTGAAATAAATCTATAAAATTTAACACACATAAACTTTATCACATCACACTCACGTACTGCTATTGCACTTTCAATCGAAAACCATGATTACAAGATTGTGATATTTTTTAATGTTTGAAACTTTCTTTTGAACCAAATTTGTTACAAATTACAAGAAATGATTATATTCGTTTGACATCAATGTTTTTCCCTTTTCTTCAGTTTCTTTGTATTTTTGTTAATAAACATAATAATAAAAAATGTTAATTGTGGTAAACGAAATAATAATTTGATCTAAGTAAGAGTTTTTTTTTTTCCTTTCCGGTTTGTAAAAAATCCTTACGTGATAGAAGAAAAGAATCTTATTTTCAAAA